AAAAACAAATTGTCAAATCTTTTTTTGAGCGTAAGTATTGCTTATATGCACCATTTGGGGAAGACTGATGATTTCGGTGTTAAAAAATGATGAGTTGATAATGAATTCGCACGTTCACACACTTATTTTAGTTCTCACAATAGCTCAGCAGTGTGTGTATATATATATATATATATATATATATATATATATATATATATATATATATATATATATATATATATAAAGGTTGAAAAGTGAACAATTTTTAAGTTTCAATTTAGGGAAATCTTCAGAAAAGTCCTTAAATTTTACCCTAATTTACGAAAAAGTCCAAAACTAAATTTTGTTTACGAAAAAGCATGAATTACCGGTAAAAATGGATATTTGACCCCTTTTTCCCCGTTTACCGGTTTCGTTACTTATCTGTTTCATTAAAGTCTCATTATTTTACATAATTTACGAATAAGTCACAAACTAAAATTTAGTGATGATTTGTCAATTTTCTCTATGTAACATACATTTAGCAGTTTCATTGCTGACTCGGACGTCTAGTCATTAAATGAGATGATGAGATGGATATGTTGAGTAATATAATGCTATGTTAGCATAAAACTTGATATCCTAATGTATTCTATATTTTTTTGGAACATAAAATGCATCCAACGAAGACTTCAATAATTACATAAACTAGCAACAACTGCGTTATTTTTTTACTATTATAAGAAATATCAAATTGTCTATCTAATCTTATATAACCCAATATATCCATCTCATCAGACATCAACTCATTTTCTGTCATTTTTTCCTTGAAACATACATGTTATTGGTTTTATTGCTGACCTACATAAATAATCATAAATGAGCCGATGAGATTGATATCAAATTTTACAACAAATGTAGCATTATATAAACTATCGTATCCATCTTATCAGCTAATTTAATGATTAGGTGTCTAAGTCAGCAATGAATCCGATAGAATGTATGTAATATGAAGACAATGACCATATCATCACTAAATTTTAGTTTGGGACTTATTCGTAAATTAGGGTAAAATAATGGGACTTTAGCGAAATAGTATGTAATAAAACTGGTAAACCGGAAAAAATTGGTCAAATCGTCATTTTTACCGGTAATTCATGCTTTTTCGTAAACAAATTTTAGTTTGCGACTTTTTCGTAAATTAGGGTAAAATTTTAGGATTTTTTTGGAGATTTCCCTTCAATTTAATATATATATATATATATATATATATATATATATATATTATATAGATATATATATATTCATTATCAGTTGGATGAACTTTTTTATAAATTTATAAAAATTTAAATCAACGTTTATCACAAACCTTCTCATTTAAGAGAATTAAAGTGGGTATCCTAGACACCGGGATTGAAAGAAACATATACAATTATGCAAATAAAAATAACTAATTCGAAAATCAAGAATTGCATTGGAAGAAGAGAAGTTCCTTAATTACTCCCTTGTCTCAAGGAGATTGTTATTCTCGTTGTTCTTCTTCGAATCTTCAAAAGCTGCATGCTCTTGTCTCTCTAACAACAATAAAAAAATCAACTTCAACTTAATCAACGAACAGATCATCTCATATATAATGTGATGACAATCCCCATGTTCATTTAAGTCTTCCAGAGATATCCTATCCCACAAGATTTTAAACAACTCCTTAATCTCTAGAAACCTTCTGTCAATGTGTACTATAAGCATAATCCTATTGTACTTAACATGTTTTGTTAGTGTACTACAGTATCCACGGGTATATCCACACTCTCTCTCTCTCTCTATATATATATATATATATATATATATATATATATATATATATATATATATAGAAAGTAATTCAATTGAAAAAAAGGTTGAGAACCAGAAAAATAAATCTAGTCCGCTAATTTCGAATATGTTGTTTAAGAGTTAGAACGCATCAGGCCGACGGAACACATCATATTTATATAGAAATGCGTGTATATATATATATATATATATATATATATATATATATATAAAGGAGTGATTATTCATATATAAATTTGGCGGCGGTGGTTGCTGACAGAGGTGGCGGTGGTTGGTGGCAGAGGTGGCGATGGTTGGTGATGGCTGATGGCGGAGGTTGTGGTGGTGGCGAAGGTGGCGGTGGTGGTTGGTGGTTAGTGGATTCATATATGAATACACTTATATTTATTTGTAACATCCCAAAAAACAGAATAATTTAAAATTTTAAAAAAAAATAATTCAATAACCATAATTGTTTAGAAAACGATTGTTTAAAAAGTGTTAATAAATGAATAGAGTATCCCAAAATCCAAATATCATAAAACCGAATGATGTGCATGATAATGCCTTCGCCTTGTCACAATAATCTGAAGTAGCTGAAACAATAAACTGAAACTGTAAGCCAAAGGTTAATGAGTTCCCCCAAAGTACCACTACACAAACAAATAACCAAATAGATACCGGGTCCACAACCTCCTGGTCGAATTAACCCTGGCCCACAATCTTAGAGTTGTAATGCTCCGGGGCACAATCTTTTCGATTGGCTTGCCCAATACATAACAGGTCCACAACCTCCTGGTTGGATTATCCCTGTCCCTCAACCATACGGTTGGAATGCCCCGGCGCACAACCTCTCGGTTAGAATGCCTCGGTCTGTTGACTGACAGCACAAAGCAGTACAGTATCAACCCCACCGTACCTTGTCAACATATACATAATAAATAGCATATATCCACCAACTAATAGTCATATAACCAGTCAACAGACAAACAGGCAGATCTACAGATCACTACTGCATATTAATATCCTATAATCTAGGCCAGAGATCTAACATATCACTACAATATATCAACATCCTCTATACCAGGATACATAAACTAATAGTCCAACATTGGTGCCTTCGACCTACAAGAACAATAAGGAAACTCACATCTCAGTCCGAAAAAATAGTTGAATAGGTCGTTACTCTGAATATCAACTCAAGCCGTCACCTATTCATCAAATAGTGAACAATCTGTTGATACATAAAAGTGAACCTGTAGCAATCCGAAGACAAACTGGAACCGAAGTCTAATTGCATTCCGAGATGTGAAGGGTTCCAAAGTCAAGCTTCTTCCGAGATGAAGACTTATATGATACATTCATAGTTTTAGGTGTTATTGAGTTCGTAAAAGCATTTAATGCTTCTTGTCGTTTAGTACTTGTTGGTTATACAGTTCATGGGACAAAATCGAGTAAATCGTGTGTGTTGGCTTTTATGACTTATCAGATTTACATTCTCCATGCAAGTCTTGTATTTTGTCTTATTATCTATCCTTTCATGTTTAAGGAGATGAGTTTTCCATGCATTGTAACGCTTTTCAAGCAATATTCTCATTCACATCAAATACTAAATATATTGCAAGTGAAATCTCTTTCTCTATCATTCTCATTGTTCTTAAGTTATCTTTACTTTGTTCATACTCATTTTATCTTACATAAATATTTTGTTGATCTTCATACTTCAAGACAAGAATGGTTTACCAGACTTGACTGGACCAAAATATTATCAGCAGACATTGATGTTAATTTAATTCAAGGTTTGAGTTTTAAAGCCTTGTCCGTACAGTAAGTCTTGCACTTTCAATTGGTATCATACCCTAAGTGGTTGTCCTTTAAATCCATAAGATGGGTCCAAGACAAACACAAGGCCCTTCAGAAGTTCATAAGTCGAGCATCAAAGTCCGAAGCACCGGATCACGTGAAGTTAAAGTTCATAAGTCAGCTGCAATGGTATATTGGAGTCATAGAATGGTTGTACCGTGTGTACGTGTTCATCAAGGAAGATTCCAACTAAGCTGACTGGATTGCTAAGTTCACTTAGGGGGAGATTGTTGGAACCTAAAAGTGAACCTCTAGCAATCACTATCCTTTTGATGTTCCGAAGTCACTATTAGTTCAGAAGTGGAATAGCGTCCGGAGTCAGTTTGTGGTCCTAAGTGATGTTGGTGTCCGGAGTGGAAGAGATTATGTCCGAAGTGAAGAAATTGTTCAAAGATTATTTTTCCGTCTTTCATTTATTATTCTTTTTTTTTACTTGATGTAACAGTTCATAACACTAAGTTTATTCTGTCAAAAGGGATAATCAGAAGTGTCAGAAGCAATCACTTTATCTGGTCCTATGTAAGTAACTTGGTTTATCCAATGTAACTCCTTCTCCTATGTAAGGAGTATTTTATGACAAGAATGATAGACATGTTGTTTTCTCCAAAGATAGATATTTTCGCATTTACTTCACTTGCACTTTTCTCTCAAATCATTCTTTCAAACATTCCTTGTGTTCATTTATTGTCTTTACTTTGATCATTCTCTTAGTCTCATATTTAATAATTGAAGTACTTTGTTGATCTTCATCTTCAAGTCTTGACTGGTCTTGCCAAACTTAACTGGAATTTTATAATCAGAAGCATACATTGATTTTAAGCATTAACTCAATGTTTGAGTTTTCAAGCCTTGTCCCTACCCAATCAGATCCCTGTTCTCACACTAACAATTAATTCCAATTTTTCTTCTTCTTCTGTTCACTCAAGACATGGCTACCAAAGAAGATGGACAAACTTCTAAATCAAAATCTTCTCATAGACGTCAAAATCTCAAGCAACTGGACCTTCCATTGTAGCAGGCACATCATTACCTCGACTCGTTAAGGTTGCATCCAACTATATTGCACTTCTTAAAACTCAGGAACAACCTAAAGAATTCGGTGTCATTGTTGAATATTTTCGAAATGCCCACTAACATATGCACTCACGGCTACATGTCCAACTCCAGAGTCTCTTATTTTAGACGTCTTTCTAGCTGCAGTCATATCTCCAAGAGCAAGGTCAAAAGAGCTTGATGTTGAATTTAACCTTTCTCAAACTAACTTGGTACTAGGTAAAGAAGAGTTAGCAACTTTTTGAGGTCTAAACAATGGTTCTCGTGAACCTTTAACATTTGTCACACCTTCTTCTATTCAATTATTGACAATGTTCAAGGAAATAGGGTACAAATTGGAAGAAAATTTGAACCAAAACTTTCAAGAATTAAGAAAGATCGCATTCCCATTCCATGGCACTTTCTCAGTTCCACCCACACTCGATGTATTTTCAGTTCAGTTGGTAGACCCAGTCGTGGTAAAACAAATCTTTGGATTTTCATGTATGGACTTTATTATGATATCAACGTTGACTACATGTCTATTCTTTCGGAAGACTTCCTCAAAGAATAAGTTCCTGATTCATCATCCTCGCTGGTGGTCCATCATTATTCATGATGTCATAAATAATAGCTATCTTACAACAGAGGAAATTCCACAAGGCCCACTGCCATTATTCTTTCATATGTCACCATATCAGATTCGTATTGCATCTGAATCTGACTTTTCAAATATATTCATCATTCCAGATGTTATCCTGGCAAAACTGGTTGAAAACAGTGTCTCTCTGCACTCATGTCAAAAATACATCAAAGGAACTACTTCGTCTCCTAAAAAGCAACGGAAGTACTCAGATCATGCATCCAAGAAGTTGGCAAAGAAGAAGAAGCAATCAAAGATAGATCAACCGCCTTCTATCTCATCTCCAAACGTATCTGAAGATAATCTTGGAGTAGATTTAGATGAGCCCACATCTCCTCCTAAAATCTGGTACAACCTCTAAGCCACTCCCTTTCTTAGATTCCTTGTTTCAAGATCCATCTGATTATGTCGAATCATCATCCTCAGCATCAGTTTCACTAGCATGCTTTTAGTCAGATCTAGAAGGTCCAAGCAATCATGCCTTCTTGGTTGATTATGATTGAAATGAGGACGATGACCAAGATGGTGAAAAGCAATCCGAACTTGAATATATCACTAAAACCTCTCTAGTACAAGATAATCAAGATGAGGATACTCCTATGCAGACGGTATACCTTCCTTCTAATGAAGGAATGATAGTTGATGATGAACCAAATCACATGTCAATCGTCTTATATTCCAAAGAATCTAACAAGACATTCAACATTCATCTTGATGATTACTCTCCCTCACCTCAAAAAGAGTCTCAAGAAAATTATGGTACTCAAGAAGAAAACTTCTCTTGTTTTCCACCAGATCCTCCTCGGGACGATGGTACTCCAGTAGATACATATAAAGAAAATACATTTGAACCAAAGCCTGAACGTACTAGACTAACTGCCCAGATGGTAGCTGAAGGTATTGAGGAAATCCGCTTTCACACATCCTCTCATTCTGAATGTCTGGACAAATTTCAATGGTATCATGAACGTATTGTGACATCCCAATTTTCACGGCCAGAAAAGACCGATTTTTGTTTATACTTGTTTGAAAATCAGAGTAACATTTTAATTAAAAGTGTTGCGGAATTTGTCCCAAAACAAAATATGATAAGGATTTATCAAAAGCATTTCCAAAGAAATGTATTTCATTAAAAGACTCGGGATGTCATGTTCGATACAGATCAAAAGCATAAACAGTACAACATAAGCCTTACTACATTATTTCGTATTTGCAGGCCTATAATCCCTTATCTCTCATCCAAACATCTATGCTTATGCGCCACTACCTGTAATCCAAGAAACTGAGTCGGTCAGGATTGGGAGGCTGCTGAGCACATAGGGTTTTCAACCGACAATAAATAAGTTTATTAACTTTATCAAACCAAACAAACCCGATTACCCGTTCCCGTTATCCTCACTTTACGTCCCTAAAATATCTAACACAAGGGACCTAGTCTAAGGACTTTCATCGAGGTGACAACACATGCTTCGGGGGTTCCTCAGCAATTCCTGTCAAATAAGGCAACCATGTGGGGGATGGAGTACTGCTGGTAAACACACAGTTCAAATAAACACCTACAGGTTGCGAGCCTGCTAGGGTTCCACTGGACTGTCTAGAATAGTCCGTTGTCGTCATCTATACTCCGCTAGATGACTGGATCATCAATAACATCTATAACGAGGCCTCTCATTATTTTATTTTGTCACACAGCAACTATTACATCTACCTATGTTTTACCCAACACATTTTGTAGATATAAAATACATATATAGCTTAAAATCATTTAAAACGTGTATAAAATCGTTCATCCAGCATAGATAGCAAGTATCAGACAATATGCACACGTAGCACATAATTTATATAAAATACTTCATATCTATGTGTAAGATGAAAGTAACTATGCACCCACTTGAAAAGGTGGTGACTCTGCACTCGAACAGCGCTTCGTTATCTCCAAATAAGTTTCCCTCGACAAAACCTAGTATCAATACCACTAGGGTTTAGTCTAACGTTAACCGCGACTACTTAATAGCCTAGCTTATTATTATTATATAAGCGTTAAACAACACTCTATATAACTCATAATAATAGCCCAAATAATTATTTTAAGGACCTAATAACATTACTATAATTATTTAAAAGCTATATTAAAAATTTCATAGGTGTAGCTCACTTACAACGGATTTTAAAGAAAACCGGTTTTCGCTTGGAGTAGCGTTTCCGAATCGAAAGACCCTTTTTCTCGGGACTCCGGGAGCCTCGGGGCTTCCTTTGGGTGCTAGGGGTTTTTCCTAGGGTTTAGGGGTGGTTTGGGATCTTAGAGAGAGAAAGAAATTAGAGAAAGAAAGAGAATTGGTGTGATTTCCTCGGCAACCTTCGCAGCCCTTTTATAGGCGTCAGCCTCGGACGTATGTTGGGGGTAGTCCTTGGCTTACGCGGGGCGTAACTTCGGATAGGGTACAGGTGGCGAGGCTTCGGTGGGGCTACATGGCCATCTCTCGGACCGCACAAGATCAAGTATGCCGGGCGTATCCAATTTCGAACGCGGGACGTAGCGAAGGGGCGACGTGTCCTTCATCCGAAGCGAGATCGTGGGGAGCAAGCAACGGCTAGGATCTTGCCACGTCATCACAGTTTCACAAATTGCACACTTAACGTCTAAGAATCATAACTTTCGCATACGAGCTCTGTTTTCGACGTTCTTTATATCCACGCGTAGGCAGGAACGTACTCTACAACTTTCGTTTAGACTCCGTCGGCTAATTTTGAATTTATTTTAAAAGTTATATTTTTAACAGGCCGGGACAGGATTGGTCCGTTAAAAATTGATAACTTCTTCATCCGATGTTCGTTTTCGTCTGTCTTTTTTATCGTTACGCTACTATTAACGAGATCTTCGATTCTCGTTTAGGTTGTGTCGGTTAAAACCGCTCGATCTAATATTCGAACTTCGGGCTGTACACTGCTAAGCCGAAACTTCGAAAAATCATAACTTCCTCATACGAAGTCAGATTTGGGCGTTCTTTTTATGGTCGCTCTCGGTTTAACATATTCTACGACTTTCGTTTAGATCGCTAAGGCTAAAACTCGCTCTATCGTAAATTCACTATTTACACTTCCCGGTATTGTGCCGGTTCCATCGCGAAACTTCGACGGGTCATAACTTCTTCGTTATAACTCGGATTTCGGCGTTCTTTATATCCCCAGAATCCTTCTTTCGACCACTACAACTTTATGTAAAAATATCGGGCTTATCTCACATTTTAATTTTGACGCTTATTTTTATTCTTTATTAATTATACATTTATAATTAAGTTATAAGCACACAAATACACATAATTCACATAGTATTCAAATATTTCATCTTTATTACTTCAAAAATAGTTACAATAGTTGACCTAGACTATTACATCGTCTAAAATGCTTAGCCCCGAAACCCGGACGTTACACGTATGGCAGAGAATGTGTGTATCTTTACTGAGACAACAAAAGCACATGTGAAAATCTTAAGTTCACCATTGATGAATTTCATGGCACGGCTGCGTATATCAAGGGACAAATTGTTTGTAACATGCGGCGGATCGAAACTCTAGATCTGAAAATTGAAAACACCATCAAAGATCATATCTCTCCGATGTATCAGAAGATAGATGATTTTCTTCGGTCTTTATCAAATCTAGATTACATCTATGAAGCTAAATTAGATCATCTGCAGAGTCATATCACTGCTCAAGACTGGTATATTGTCACTCTTGAAAAGTCAGTTGCAGAACTTTCTAAAGCTTCATAATCATCTTCAGGTACTCCCTTTCAAGCATTATGTGAGCGAGTTCAACGACAATTGGATTCATTGTTCTGTGACATTGCAAATATCTCTAAATACACTTTTTAGAAGGTCCATCACTAGTCGGGTGATATCTCTTCTCTTCAGAAAACTGTTCAGATACTGGTCAATGAAGTTAAGGATATCAAGATGCAATCTCCTTCTTCTGATATATGTGCTCTAAAAAAAGTTGCCTCATCTGATTCCAAGCTAGACTTGATCCTGGAAATTTTTAAATGTTTCAAATGACATGCCACCTGAACTAGAGCGGGAAAAGGTAGACAAGTCCAAATCAAGTCATTCTCCTATCAATCATCAGATTCCATATTCTCCAAATGAGTTTTAGAAAAGGAGAAATGAAAAATTAGAGTCAATCGAAAAAATGGATGTTGAAGGAAAATTAAAAGCTCAACAAAACAGAGCACATATGGCAGAAAGTCAGAAATAGAAAAATAATTCATTTGAAAGAAAGGCATCAAGGATCCAACTCTAAAGGTTCTAAGAAGGAAAGATGTTTACATCACCAAACCTATCACTATATCACAACCAAACGTCCAACCAAATCTTCCTCAAATCGATCCCGGGGATAGGGGAAAACAAAAGGTTGTCTTCAAATCAAATAAGGAGTTAGCTAAAGAAGCTAAAGTGAAAATAGATGAAGAGTTAGCAAAGCAACTTGAAGCTAAGGAGTTAAAGTCTAAAACATAGGTGCTTATTGGAAATAAATCTTCAAATATCTCTTTTGAAGAAAGAAACACATGGCATGATAAACTATTCTGAGCACCATCTCCAAAGAGGACTTTTAGATTCCTCTAAAGAAAACTGGGATATTCCTGCACCCCCGAATGGTACAAAGTTCCATCTGTGGCCAAGTGCAATATATCCAGTTAAGTCTAGTATAGACATTGAAGAGGTAAAGAAAAGATTCTTCTTGAAGAAATCAGTTCAATCTGTCTACGTATGGTCAAAGTTCAAAATTGCTTCAATTAGTAAAATTGACATTCGGGAATTTTGAAAGATGGCATATGCCTTCTTTCAAGGAAAAAGGACAAATAACTATGAATTCATGTTTTCTGAAGCTGAATTCCCTAGAATAAATCAAGGTGATATCAGATCATTGATTATTTGGTTGAAGCTGAAGGAAAGTACTAATGAAGCTTATGCAGATGCCTTACAACGCTTGAGGCAATATATTTTGTATATGGTTATTCATTTCATTGTTGATTGGGAAATAGGACAACTTGGAGAAAAGATAGTTCATGAGCCAGATTTGGATCTGAATGTGGAAAATGAGTCACCGGGAAACATACTGAAAACACCACATAGAGGAGTTGTATTTTTTTCAAAGAGTTGATTGAGATTTATGAGAATCTCTCAGAAACATCTATTCTCTTCATAATTTATTTAAGTCATCATTAGTTAGTTGAAGAGAACAGGAGATCAATATAATGCGTTGAGGGTGAAGATAATTCAACAACTCACTCGGTTTCTAAGTTTTTGACAGTGGTTACTAAACTTAAGGAACAAAGTTTAGATTGTGTGTGTTTTTTTCTTTTTAAAAACCATGTGGATGATGTTTTCGTTTTGCTTCCAGCAATTAGTTTTTTTTTTGTTAATTTCATCGTGCATGTTATTACTTTTATTTTTACTCCTTATTTCACTAACCATCACATAAGGGAAACTATTGAAAAATATTTATATGTGATTGTCACTTGAAATAAATTGAGTCTATGTCAATATCTCTCTAACAAACATTATCATAATGTTTCAGGTTGGAAATATCTTGAAGATTCAACAAGTGTTTGAAGAATAAGATTTTAGAGCACTTGTAGTGGACACGGAGCACTTGTAGTTGACATGGAGCACTTGCAGTTGACATGGAGCACTTGTTGTTGACATGCAGCACTTGCTGAACATGGAGCACTTGAAGTTGACATGGAGCACTTGCTGAAGATGGAGCACTTGAATCTTACATGGAGCACTTGCTGAAATCAAGTTGGACCATCATCATCTTAGATGGAACATCTAGATCATATGTGGAGCATCAAGAAGTTGATGACTGAAAATGAATACTTGGTGGCTCATCTCAAGTGAATGGATCAACATGATCACATTGATGGCTCAACAAGATTGCACATGGCGCATCATGTACAATGATGGCACATCCAAATACTCAATGGCACATGAAATTCGTCCATGGTTCATCATGAACACGTATTTATACATCTTAAAGTTCATGACACATTCCAACATTCAAGAAACAACTCAACTTGATCAATGACACTTCTGGAAGTTGATAACATGCTAGAAGACAATGGAGCAACATGATGCTCATGCTGCTCATCATATATTCAATGTTGATCAAGAAGGCTCAAAAGATATGAAGACTCAAAACTTGGATGGAACCTTAACGAAATACTAAGGGAATTGGAATATTCCATCCATTCTCTGTTAAGTAGGGCATAGGTGTCACCTAATGACTAGGTCATGATGACATGCCCACACCTGATTGGTCAAGCCATGTCATGGGATTTTCCAAAGCGTATAAATAGGCCCCTTGGGATTCATTATAAAGTTGCTCTTCCTGCTCATTCGGCACATTTTGCTGTTTAGACAAGTTTTCAGAGAGCCACTTGAGAGTTTTAGTGTGTTTTACATTCAAACACTTGTAATTGACTTCTGATGAATATGAGACACATTTGAATCATTGACCTTAAGCATACAAAATGTTGTTTCATTAACTTGGTTGATTCACAACTCTTTATTTTCCGCATTACTTGCAACTTGACGATTCTGAAACTTTGTTTCAGTATTTTCAACACTTGGACTCTTCAAGTCTAGGTTTACTGATTTTCTCATTTTCTTCAATACTATTTGTAATTACTATATTATTCTCATAATATATTAACAAATCATTTATTCCTATTTATTAATCATATAACAAATCAATAAATCAGACTCTCTCTCTCTCTCCAAAAGTTATCCCATTCAATTACCAGGTTTGAAGGCAACCCAAAAGGACTTTGTTAATAGCTCAAGTATAAACCAATTTAGTTATTGGCTAAGACACCTAATCCAATAGTCTCCCACTTGGATAAGTCTATAACTAGAACTACCCGTATAACCTCCAAGCTATCAGCAAAGGGAGCTTCCAAAATAAATTCCAGTTTCTGATCTGATCATACATTATTCCTAAGATAAGTGATCAAATATTCCTTCTTTCTTCAAGATATCACATGGACACGAGACATGGATTAGAAGAAATCTTATTGTCCAAAATTTTGTTTCCCAATTTCCCGATTTGTGATGACGTCATAAGACTTCTATTTGAACACATCAATTTAGTCCTGGCTGGGCCCAACACTGTAAGTGAACACTAAATCACCAAGGGGACCAAAGATATCGCTTTTTCCGTTAGGGAAAAAGGAACGAATAAACTTTGACTTATATTTTTTTATCCTTTACTCACCAAATCATACATGACACTACGTTTTATAACATCAAGTTATTGATGTGTTTTCGCAATACCAATGTACTACCAATTTGTAAGTTACAACTCATATATCTCCATTTTAAGAATATAAGATATTATCATCTCAGAATTACTCGTGATAGAATCCATGAACTAATTCTTTGAGTGTGGTTTTATCCAAAACTCAGATCTCCATTTTCTAAGTACTCATGAATGTTGTAGCAACACAATTGTTATGTCTAAACTCCGTAGACAATCTACAATCCAATTCAGGATAGTCTTCATTCATTACTTACTTCCTAAAGTATGAGCGACTTTGGAGCATCGAATAATCAAATTATTTAGGAAGTAAAACATGCAAAACGAAACACAAGAATAAATAATTGACAAACGTAGTAAACAATACTCATAAATAATCTCTATTATTCAATCACCAAAAATTAATTACATTTATTCTGTTACACGTTTCAAACTAATCATCTAACTACTAAAACTAATATCATCTCTCAAACCAATGCTCCTAGCATGCTGACTATGTTTAACCCTACTCGGAGCCTTTATGAGAGGATCTACAGGATTGTCTTCTGAAGACACTCTCTTAGCTATGATATGACCTTCTTCGAACATATATTTAATATAATGGTACTTTATGTTGATATGTATTGCTTTACCATGATCTTTCGGTTCTTTGGTTAAAGTAACTACTCCTTCGTTATCACAGAAAAGTTCCATTGGATCCTGAATTCTCGGAACTACACTAAGATTGCGGATGAATTCTTCATCCAAGCCTCTTCCTTTGATGCTTCACTCACTGCTATGTACTCTGCTTCACAATTAGAATCAACCACTATGTCTTGCTTGGAACTTATCCAAGTGACTGCTCCTCCATTTAACATAAAAACTCAGCCAGATTGAGAATGAAGATTGTCTCTATCTATTTCAAAAGTTGGCATCACTATACCCAGTTACTCTCAATGTATCATTGCCACCAAGGACTAGAATCAGATCCCTTGTCCTTCGCAGATACTTAAGAATATTCTTTATTGCTGTCCAATGAGCTCTGCCAGGATTTCCCTGAAAACGTCTGACCATGCTTAAAGAAAAATACACATCAGGGTGAGTGCATGTCATAACGTACATGATCGATCCTACAGCTGAAGCATATTGGACTCGACTCATCTTCGTTGTCTCTTCATCTGTACTACGGCTTTGAGTCTTACTCAACTTAGCATTACTCTGAATAGGTAGCTCTCATTTCTTGGATTTCTCCATACTAAAACAGTTTAGTACCATAAATGGATTTTTCAAGCTTACACGATCTATTAGGAAACTTTGCATCTACAAAACCCTCTGGCTGACTTATGAAAACATCTTCAACCAACTTCCCATTAAGGAAAGCAATTTTGACATCCATCTGCCATATTTCATAATCATGAAAGGCAGCTATGGTAAGCATTATCCTAATAGACGTTATCTTAGCTACTGGTGTGAAAGTCTCATCATAGTCAATCCTTGGGGTTTGAGTAAAGCCTTTCGCAACCAGTCGAGCCTTGAAAGTTTGTGACTTTCCATCCATCTCGGTCTTCTTCTTGAAGATCCATTTTTATCTAACTATCCTTCGACCAGGTTCTTGATCATCCAAATTCCAAAATTTGTTATCATACATGGACTTGATCTCGCTATCCATTACCTCTTTCCATTTAGTAGCTTTAGGGTCTGCCATCGCTTCCTTGTAGTTAGTTGGCTTATCCAAATTTACCAGTGTACAATCACTGATAAACTTATCACCCTCTGATGTTATATGGAAACCATAGAACGTTGGTGGTATGCTAACTCTACTAGAACGTCGATGAGGTAACGAATTGTTAACGGGTTCAACTGAGTCTCATCCTCTGGTTGAGAGCTATTATCTTTTAAGATTCCTTAATTGGTTAACTCGTGTATCTCTTTAAGATCAATAGTACTCACAATATCCTCTTTACATATGAGCTCTCTCTCACGAAAGATTCCCCTTCATGCTACAAATACCACGTTCTCGCTAGCTCTATAAACAAGTATCCAAAAGACTTTTGTAGGTATCCACTAAAAAATACATCTCTCACTTCTAGGTTCTAGTTTTTTGTTAGTCTCTTGTCTAAGGAAAGCTTCACAACCCTAAACCTTGAAATGTGCTAACGAGGGAACTTTCCATGTCCACATCTCGTGAGGTGTTTTGGCAACCATCATGGTAGGGACAAGATTGAGGATATGGGTGGCTGCCTCTAAGGCATACCCTTAGAAAGAAATCGGAAGAGAAGCTCGACTCGTCATGGAAACAACGATATCTAACCAGGTCTGCCTGCGCCTCTCAGCCTCACCATTAAGTTGTGGTGTCCTAGGAGGAGTTAATTGTGAAACAATTCCACATTACTTGAGATAGTCGTGGAACTCGATACTAAGATACTCTTCGCCTCTGTTAGATGGGAGCATCTTTATCTTCCTACCTAATTGATTATAGACTTCATGTTTAAACTCTTTAAACTTTTCAAAGGTTTCTAATTTATGCTTTATTCAGTAGCTATAACCATATCTGCTATAAGCATCTGTAAATGTCACATAAAATTGATTAGCATCCCTTGTGGTGGATCTGAAGGGTCCACACACATCAGTGTATATGAGATCCAACAAACCTTCACCTATTTCACTAAATCCAGTGCAAGATGATTTTTTCATCTTCCCCAAAATACAATATTCGCATTCATCATCTGGCCTTAATTCAAACGATTCCAACACTCCATCCTTTTGGAGTTGGGCAATGTGTGTCTTATTAATGTGACCAAGATGACAATGCCACAAGCATGCCTTGCCTAAACCATTAGATGAATCAATATGTAAAACACTAT